GTTGGAATGGTGTGAATGCAGGCAAACGCACTCCACAACGACGACAGCAAGCCACGTTTACCGAAAGGGGGAGGCGTTCAGGGAAAACGGTCTACGAGAAGGGTCTAGGAATCACATGGCAAAGCAGGCACGTCACATAAGGAAGCAGAAAACCCTTTTTATTTCTGTTTATGTCACGCGTTTCTAGGACACTTTCACATATCCTGTAGAAAGGAACCTAGCCAGCACAGGCAACCGAGTCTACGCAAACGCAAACCAGCGATTAAAACACCGAATGTAACCGGGTTGCTGGAGCGGCCAGGACGAAGCAAGGCGGCTGGGGGGGACGGCGATGCGAGTGCAACCGAGGAACGGGCACGGAGCAACTGGGACCCAGCGCAGAGCCACAACACGGCAGGGGGGACAGCCATGGAAGACAACCACCAGGAGCAGATAAACCAGCACACGAGATCGAACCAGAAAAGGCCTCCGCCCGCGGCTTTCCTTACAGCGGTGTCAGGAAGGTGCGAAGGAGAACACGGGAAGGCACCGCTCACCTGTAAACTTCTTAGTGACAAAACTGAGAGTTTTAGAGAACCTTACCTCAGCTGGAAGTATCAGTTTATGAGATACTTAAATGGAGATTTTATTTAAACCTCTAGTTAAACAGACCGTTGCTTGTGGTTCATCACACTAATGACGTCCCAACCCCAGTTCTGAAACCTCAGCAGACCAACTCAGATCTAGCGCTTTGATCCAGCTTTCTCCAGACGTGGTTCAAAACATGCATGTGCCAAGACCCTTAAAATACCTCACCTACACTCACTCTGCTTGCATTTTGAAGGTTTTTGCAAGTCATAAAATTAAAATATTTTTTGTTTTGAATAAAAACCTTACAGACTTTTTCTAGCCAAACTGCACGCTGAGTCTTGATGGTGGCAGTGGAGGTAGAGGGGAGCGCAGGGGAGCAACCGTGCATCCATACCATTTACACAGCATTGCAATTGCTTATTGTACATCTCTCTCTCCTTCCACTACACCTCTTCCCCCATTCACTGCTGAGAGGGAATTCTTTTTTCCTTATCTCCTCATTCAACATGCTCATGTTATGCAATTCTTCAAGAAGAAAACTTTATTGGTGATTTAAAAATCAAGATAAGAAAACCAATCTGCAGGTAAAGGCCACAGGAAAAGAGAAACCACAGACATTTTTTGGTCCTAAACCACTTACACAACACATTGGCATCAAGCAGGGGAGTACTCTCCTTAATTCTCAAACAAGTATTTCTATTGAAGTAAAGTACAGAAGAAAATCATCTGAATTTTCACTACACTCAAAAACGAATAGCAAAAAAGAAAACACTTTATCGAGAAATATCCAAGTAGAAAAGGCCCTACACCAAAGGTTCAGCCAGAAAAAAGGAACGCATTTGGTGTGATGGAGCCAAAACTTTAAGAAGTCTAGAAGCAATAGTTAAGATGCACAGAATGCACTTGGGTTCATGCCAAACTAAGCTAGGAATTAAACTTAGTATCAGATATTCTCCTTATGTTCCTCAACACATGTGAATTATACTACACAAAATCTTGATACTTGAGGCAGTACTTCAGTATTTTATTGGCACATCTCAAAAGTACTCTTCTAAATTCAGTCATAAACTTGCTGCTAAAGCAAAAGGCTGTGCAACTTCCGCAAAACTTGAGTTTGTCACAGGTTAAGGTATTAATCCTTTGAATAGAGCAAATCTTCCCTCATTTTGAGTTTTACTTCTGATATTTCTTGCACTTTCAAAGTATTAAGTCAGGTCCCCTTTCTCCAGGTGCCTTCGCAACATATTGGACAAATATAGACGACACCTAAAAAAGCACTGCCCACAGAAGCAGCTATGCTAGTTCAGTCAACATAAAATCCCCTTGCCTCAAATTTAACCAGCCAGCAGCATTTGTCTTCAAGCTAAGTCTTTATAAAATATACATAGAGAAACGTTATGGAAAAACAACCACGAGTTCTTGAGCTACAGATTCCACTACCGTACTGAGTCCGTTTCATTGGTTTCAGTTCTGCAAAGCCAACGGAAGAACACCGTGCACTCGCTTCCCCTTCTGCATCGCATCTGACAGGCTCCATTTCCTCCTCACCACATTTGCAAGAGGATGCGTCACCGTTGTAAGTGCAGGTCTCCTACTGCCTAGGAAATGCTATGAAGTAGCCCAAACTAAATGACAACATAACAGCAATAGGAAAGTGGTAGCACTTATTTCAACGTGGTATTTTGAAGGAATTGGACAGATCAAATATATACTTCCTTGTCCATGAGTGTTTTTCAGGTCATAGCTTTTAACCATTATTACCTTTATCCTTTCTTCATCAATTTAGGAACCAAATGTTATTTAGAGGTTACTTCTTTATTATCTAAAACTCGTATCAGAAATAAAAACAATGAGGACTATAACATCTAAATAACTTCTCTAGTGCTGTATTTGCTGTCTAGCAGTCTTTAGATCAAGTCCAGCAGTTTTCTGGTAACATACACTTATTAATCTCAACACAGAACTAAAATAAAGGATGCTCTTAAGACAAGCCCCCATCACAGGCTCCTAACATACAATACCTACCAGCAATTCAAATACCCCTTCTCAGTATTTTAATACTTCCACATAGGAGTGTTTTAAACTGTGATATTCTATGGAATCACACCACAAAAATTACTATATGCAGCCCCCAGCCCGATAGCCTAGCCATCGATACAAGTCAGTCTGTAGAAACTCCAGGATTAGATGATCTAAAGAGCCTTTTGGCACTTAAAATAAACTAAGCAAGACAATCCTCTCAACACCAGCTTCACCATCTCTGAAGGAAGTGAGAAAAGGTCCCAGCTAAGAAAGTATCTTTTAAGCTAACAGATCAAGCTAGGATGCTTGCTACAAAATAGATACCTACCTATGAATTTTCACTAAACTCAGTATTTCACTACAAGTTCAATAGACCAACCTTTGCTTAAAACAATATAGCAAGGGTAGGAGGGTGAAGAGGGAGAAAGGGATAAGACTGCTTGTAAAGCTATGCCAGACCTTGCTTATGCATCCAAGTCTGTACACCTGATTTTTACACACACCTCACCTCAGTAACATTTCTGAGCAGTATAGCAGCTTATTCCACCTTCTTACCTTCAAACAACATCAGTTACAGTGTGCACGGGTGTGAATACACATATGTCCATAAAAAGAGCAAACAGAGCAAAAAAAAAGATTTAAACTAAAGGCAGTGAACGTTAGTAATCTGTAACTTGGATTAGCAATAAATTTTAATTTACGGGCACAGCCTTTGAATCATTTGATTACAAGAAGCATTATGGCTTCCCTTTCGGGAATCCTGTTAAACTATGAAACGGGTAACTCAACATTAACTTCTCCATTAAGAAATGAACTCAGTAACATGAGCACTTGCATTGCATGCGTTCGGGTCGTGAAGGAGATAGATGCATGCACACCTGGGAACATTATTTAAAGGTAACATCATTTGGACAGTACCACATCATAACTTCAGTTTCGTTATTTTAGGCTTCTTGTGCATAATTTTACCCCTTTCCATTAAGGGAAACATGTAACAGTTACCTCTAAACATTTATTTAAATCTATTCACATAGTATCATTATGGAAGGTATGCATCATGCAACCAATGGAATCACAAGATCTCATAAACAATATAAATTTGACTAATCTTTTACAAAGATGAGAATCGCTGAGTTATCAAATTCCCTCTGGTATAAATATTATGAGGTAAGCAATACTTAAGATGAGGCACTTAAACAATAACCCAAACGGTAGTTAGTGTACAAAATTATAAACAGGAACAGTTATTCATATTGCCCACAATTATTTAAAAATGATTTTATATTCTATATACAGTGCCGTACATGCCTTATATCCCCCACTGAAGCAAACCATTAAGGAAGTAGGAAAGAAATCAAGTCGTCATCACATGCCCTTAGATGCAAGCATACAGGTAGATGAGTACACTGGCGTTTGTAGCGATGTAGTAAAAAGAGTGTCTAGAAAAACATTCTTTTTGTGAGGCAATCTCCAGTTTTCTGTTGGGGGGAAACAGTGATGCTAACAGAAAGTTAACTTGGTATTAACGTACAAATCTGCCAAGCCACAAAAGGAGGACTCTACTGTGTTTAAGGAAGGAATGCCAATTAGGACAGGATTTAAGCCTTAGCGGGATTTATAGTAATTACAAATGTAACAAATTTAACTTTACAAAGAAATTAATTATGTCAATTAAAATACTTAGTAAATTTTACTGGGAATTTATATAGTATTATATATGGTGCTGATCAATGCCCAATTTATTAAAATTACCTAGGGCACATTTCCAAGAAAATGTACCAAAGCAGCATAGGAATTCCAATTAAGATGTGAAACTAATATTTACAGTAAGCACTTCCTTATCAAGATGCAGAGAAAGGAAAAAACCCAATAAAAGAAATAAGGAATTAAAATTTGGGGGGGGCGGGGGGGCACAGTTGTTTCTTCATCCCCATAACTGCACAGCTTGCTAGAGTCTGCCTGGGAAACAAGATCAGTATTTTTTAACGACGTTAAACAAACAAAATTTTCCAAAAGACTCAAGAGTTCTCAATGCTGAAAAGCTTATACCAGCATGCTGTCTGCAACAAATCTGCAAGTTAATGGAGCAGAAACTTAAAATATGCTTCCTCATCCTATGCTTTTAAGAAGGGGGCAGGGACTTCCAGAATGGGTGAAGTTATTCCTGTCTGAGAACTTTATTTTGTGGGGGCAATGATCCTAATTTCACCCAGTCTTATAACAAAGCAGCTCTGAATTTTATTTTTAAAAGGCCCGTGAACAAGCCATCTTTTTAATTTATATTTGATATTTTAAACTCCTTAAACAAATGCAAGCTACATTATGACTTCTGTTTCTTAAGATAAGCCAGTCTAGTTTTGAAGTTTAAATGGAACAATGAAAGAGCCACAGTTGCTAGAATAACAAAATTAAACTTGGCAAAAGTAATGAATTTTATTTACAAATACATGTACCAGGATTACAACAGAAACACACTAGAGAAACTCCATCTCAACAAAAGCAATGATTTATTGGTAATGTTATTAATCGAAACAGATTGACAGTCTCTGGCTATGGTCAAGCAATTATCCAGGAGTCGTAGATAAAAGTGAAGATCTCATCTGATTGCTATAAGGCCTTCCAGTGTCTTTAGCATCCTAGTGGCTCTCTCCTTTTTTGCCAACTACCTGATAAAAGAAAAACACAAATCAGAAAATAATTATGAATGTTTAACTGAAAACGTCTTGCCAAATTTTTTTTTTTTTTTAAAGTAAGCCTTGATACAAATAAGAGCTACTGGATTCGCAACTAAATTAATGCATTTAAGCATGCATTGTAGCACCTGCAGAAGAAGGAGCTGTAAACCCCTCTAAAGAATTAAGAGGGATGTGGGAGACACAAGGAACTCCCACCTTCAGCATTAATCCAGCTAGCAAAGCATCAATCTCATTTTGAGAGGAGTTAGGAGACAGTAACAGCAACAGAACAGCCCACACTATTAAGAATATACGTAAGTTACATACCACACATCCAACCTTAATGTGCTACATAAAATACTAGAAGGGGAGGAGGACCACTGGGTGCTCAAATTTAAGTCTGTTCATTTCCCTTGGCCTCGTGCCCTTGCTACCTACCTCACTGAGAACATTTACCTTATAATGCAGTTTAAGCCTAAAAAGAAATCTAGGAGTCACTTGCTTTTCAGTAACTTCCTTGTCAAAGCAATATTCCTTACCAAGGCTCCTTCCAGCCCCCAATTCTGTGAATTCCACCTGGAATCAGAGTCAGTTTGGTACTTTGCTTTCCAGAAAGGACCACCACTGCCATCAAACTTTGGTGAGTAGGCTTGCCCGCCAACAGCAAATACAACTCTATCACTCTACCTGTGGCCATGCAGGTTTACAATTTAAAATTAATATAGTTCATACAGGAAGGGTATCCTGTCCCCTTCATTAAGATAACTGAACACAAGACATGGGGCAGAAAGTAATGCCATTTTAGTCACACTTCAGAAAAGGTTTAGGCTTAATTCTGTGCTCTTGGAGACCATAGAAAAGACCCATTTAGGTCAAATCAAACTATAAAGAAAGTTTTTAAATTTAAGCTTGAGAATTGCAAGGGAGACCTTGGGCAAGGCACTGATTCCCAATTCATTTCCATCTAAATAGAGAGTAGCACTTACCTATCTGACAAGGTGCTGTCAGAATTAGTCGGAACAGACATTTGAGGACGTACACTAACGGAACATAGAATTTCCCATTGCTACTCATAATAATGCTGAAATCTGAGGAGTAAGACGTTCCTTGTATTCTAACAAATTGATTCATATGGCAAAATGTGTTAAGGATTAATTTCCTCTGCAGGTAAGTGACAATATACCACACAAGATTCATACAGTCAATACTGAAAGACTAGGGCACGGTGGGGGAGACACCCAAAAAACAACCCTAACTACGCAAGCCTCATGGACCCACTGGAAGTACTCTTACTGATCCTTCCCCTTTCTCTGATTCTTATCAAAATTCAAGAGGGAAAGTTTTCCATTGTTCAGCTGCTGTTGGTGATCTCAGTTCTCACCTTTGCAAAGTAATTGAGATCTATTGACGAAAAGCACTTTTAAAGACAGTTTTCACCTGTACAGAGCCCTTAACCAGGAGCATTTTCACCAAGGCATAAATTTAACCTAATGCTTAGGGTCAGGAAAATTCCAATTTGACAACATGAGGAAGGAAAAAAAAAAATCAGAAGTCCAATCACTTGCATTAAGATTCAATTAATCAAGTTAAAAATACAGTTAAACTTGACATGGAGCAATATTTATTCTTCAGGTGTTTCAAAAGCAAACTGTGTTCAGATTAAGCAAAAACAATTAACACATTAAAGATTAGATGTTAGCAAGTGTTCAACATCAATGAAAAGTATTGCTATACCAGTCTGTGGTGGAAATTGACAACTCGCCCATGTGTATTATCTGTAAAAATTAATCATGCTGATATGGATATTTTGTCACCAGAGGTCAAAGCAGCTCATTTTCTGATCACCCCACTCCACCTTCCCAAACAGAAAATGCCTACATAAACTTAAACTGAAAAAGTTATCTCTATTCTTTGCTCAGAAATAAATTCATCTTCCTTCTGTTTACAGGAGGAACCAGCATTTAGTATGCCCTAAGACACTGATAACAGCTTGCAATTCTGACAAAGTACAAGAAAGTTTTGATGCTTTTCTTAAATGCACTTCCCCAAGCATCAGTCCACAAGCCTGACAGTGACAACAAAAACAAAACAACAAAACAGAAAAAACAAAAAAAACACAAGCCACCCATTGGTTCCTCATAAACGGTAGGACTGGAAACATCATTTTACCACTGAGCATTCTAGAGCAGATTGCTCCTTAAAGTTTAGTTTCTTTTTATTTAAAGGGGCCAAACAACTAAAATTAGATGCTGCTGGAGAACCCTCAGCAGGTCCTGCACAAAGGTTCACCACCTCCTCACTGTGTCTGCAGCAAGGAGGTGCCCAGCGCTACTACTCGTGGGACAATTGAGAGTGCTTTGCTGCCCTAACATTATGGCTTGCGTGGTACTTATTGAAGGATCCTACACCAAAGACGGGTGGCTAAGCCCTAATAAGATATTAAAAACAAACAAACAAAAAAACCCAATCCTTGGTAAAGCATTCCACAAACCATTTCAAACAGCTTAACAAAATTCAATACAGACTGAAGAATGAGTTACAGAAAACAGCGTGTAAAAGTGTTTTACGGTATGCCTTTAAAGTGTCTAGTTAGGAGTATGAGAAGACAGAAAAATTTGGTAAGACTGAAAGGAAGAGGTAAGTGTTTAAAGTGAGATTTGGAAAAAGATGAATTGATGAGTCAGAAGGTAGAGAAGGCTGTTCCGGATGGCAGAAGGTGCAGAGAAGAAGGCTCTCGCATCAGTGCTGAGATTGTGGAAAGGGTGAAAGACATGCTAGATGAGCACAGGGAGCAAGAGAGGGAGTAGCACCAGACCAGATCAATCTTATTATTACTTTTTTAATTTCTTCTGCATTTTTAGTTCTTTAGGGATGGGAAGTTAAGCTGAAAAACAAACAAACAAAACGTTACAAGAAAAAGAGAAGCAGCACAGAGTGCAAATAGGCAGTTTTGAGTAAAAGAAAGCCATCATTCAAGAGGGGACAAAGACACCCCACAACCTGTCCACATTCATCTGTGCCCCCACCTCAGAACTGAGCAGCAACATCCATTGTATTTGTTAATACCAGACATAAAAATCTTACTGAACATCAATTAAGAGTTGCCATGCTCTTCTAAAACAAATAAAAGTATGTCTAGAAATTAACCACAAGATTCACAGGAATCTACCTAAGACTGAATTATCAGTCTATGGGGGGTGGGGGAGGGAGGAATCACACACACACACCTTGTGCCTTTACTCAATACTTTCAGTGGCCTGCCCAACTTAGTAATTTGATTAAGAATTGTCTTTGAGCAAAAGACAATCTCAAAGGCAGTCTACTACTTTACGGTAGTAAAGTAATTTGCGTTATAACTTGTGTCTTAAATCAAGCTCTAGGTGGCCAAGAAACAGGAGAAATGTTTCTAGTGTTAAGGATAACCCCTCCCCTCTCTTTTTTTTTTAAAAAATGAAAACCATATGCCTTCAAAACAAGTTTTTCCAAAAGCATTTCAGAAGATATTAAATATGCATGGCAATGTAAAATTCAAAAGAGTCTTCTGCTGTTTAGGACTCCTTCATTTAAATAGGACAAAGATCTTAGATCTCTCCCCACTACTCTGTACGCTTAACTCACCGCACAGCAGCCATTTCCATGTAAGATACTATTTTTGTTGTTTCCCCCTTCTCTGCTCCTGGAATGTTACGGAAATTCCCAAAACTTTCCTCCTCCCCAGATGTTAAAACCCAAGCTGTGAAAGGAGTAGACTACACACAGTGTATAAAAAAAGTTTAAAAGTAGCTTTTTGCAACCTTATTCACTGAATCCAGCGATAGCAACTACATACATGTCAAAATTAACTTGAGGCAAAAACTACTACTGAAGGACCTTAACTAGACCTGCTTAGCACTTCTGCTATTACTCACAGTAGATGAAATTCAGCTTCACATTCGATAGTCTCAATACTGGAAATAATACCTCATTTATATTAAAATGCATGAACTGACTTCCTGATCAAGAGGAGGTGTTTTTTCTTACAGCCAGTTGGTGCTAACAGAGCACCACACAAGCAAATACGATTTTCCTTGACTGTCTGGAGGACAAGAGTGCTTCAGTTATGCATCTTGATAATCAACTGCTGAGCTGGGAGCTGCCATAAGAAGGGATGCATTCAGATCCCACCTCAGCTGGGAAGCAAAATACATTAGCCTGATCCTCAGTAGAAGTAGTTTAAACCATTGGCTTTTTACTTTAAAACTGCACACGTACAGTCAACTGAGTAGTGATGAGATGCATCGTGAGAACATAAGTGAAATCATGTTCACGTTCACTTCTTAATTCAGGCCCTTCAAATAAGATAATTAACTGATTCTTACACAAACACTTTTCAAAAACTCAAATTCAAGGAGAAAAAAAATTCCCCTATGTTGTTAATCATGTTGTAGTACAATTTCTACCATAATGAGAAGAGAAATATGGAGCAGTAGAGAGACAGACTGAGATGAGGCAGTGAGATAGATGAAAGTGGTGAGGAGTAGTGTGGGTAACTACTCAAGGAGATGAAAAGAAAAATAAGGCTTCCCAGTTAATCTACAGACCTAAAAATAATTAATGCCCAACGCTATATTAAGGTTTCGTAGCTGACAGGATCATTGGAAGACGGGAAACAAAAGTTAAAATTCCTAAGAGCACTGTAACTCTGCCAGACTACACATCCCATTTGTTATGATAAAATATTTTAACAGCCTAATATTAAAACTACATGTTCAGGAAGCAAAATAGGAATATTACATATAGTGTCTACAAGTATCTGAACAGAGACACAGTTAGCTACTTCTTAACCCAGTAAGGTAGGCAACACTCCTATTTAAACCAGTTCTGACAAGCTCCTTACCATCCTGATGTTAAGGTTGCAATGTTAGCACTGTGTTACTGTTTGGTATATTTAGCTTTCACAGGTTTGTTCCCCTCCCCCCTAATTAAATGCATGTCACAAGATAGATGGGCATATTCCCTGATGGTGCTAAGAGATTCACCTGTGAACTTTAAGGAAGCTGAAACTGTAACTGGCACTTACCAGGCTATATAGCCAGCTTCCAAGCATCCACACTGCATCTAGAACCAAAAGATTTAGACGTTCCCTCAAACTAGAGTAGGCAGAGATGCTGAGGCCTGGAGACCCACACTATTTAAGTTCTCGTACCACTCTATAAAGACATAGAATCAGAACCACATGTGTGAATTAAAAAACCCTACTGGCCAAAAACACACTGACTGGACTTCAGGCTGTTACACAGCAGTGAGCTTTAGGCTAAGGCAGCACTGACAGTACTGAGCAGAACCACATCCACCGCGTATGTCTGTGTCCACGCAACTTAAACCATCATAGGAGAACACACGTCATGGAGGCTCAAGGTTTCAACCCCGCGCAACATTCCAGAAGACTTTAAATTCCTTGACAAAGTACTCCCTAGTCAAGACTGTTCAGATATGTTTTTACTGATAAATACAAGGTTGGGTTTAAAGAATGCACTTGTTTCCCCTCGCCCTGCAACAATACCAGGATGTACTGCACGTTAATGATGAGATGTTAAAATAGTAACCGCGTAAGTCAGAGGGAGACGCCCTACTAACAAAAGTAGTTACAAAATAGCAGTACAAAACAAAAATCAAAACAAGTAAGTATACTGTAAATGAATTAACACGTTTCTAGTTTTGAGTGAATGGGTGCCGCATTAAAAAGGTCTAAAACTGATATCCAATTGATTTTAGTACACTAGAGCAACTTTTTTAGTGACTTCTCTTCAGGTTTCAGGGAAACGCAACAAAATCTGTTTAACTTCTATTAACTTAATTATGATCTGCAAAGATCCTGAAGTTGTACACGTAGAAATTTTTAACATCAAGTTTGGACGTTAAAAAAAAATTTCAAGTACATGAAATGTTGGCAAATGTTAGTGTTTTTAACCTCTTGAAGTTTTAGGCAGTTTGCATAAGTTGTTCTGTGGTGCTTTCAGTGTTATTGTTGCCTACATAGTAGCTTAGCAGAGATAGTGTTACAGTCGTATCTGCCTCTGTAAAAGGACTAGTAATTTAGTAAGTTTTAAAGCAGTACATTTTAAAATATTTGCATTAAATTTCCCAGAAGCTGTAAGTAGCTTTAAAAGTTTCAATACTTCCAAACCCATTTCACATTCTCAAAAATCAAAAGGAATTGAGAGCACCTTGCTGTTAGGAGCTAGTGGGTCTAAGTCATACTATAACAAGTTGTTTGCCTCTTCTTCATTTCCTTTTAAACAAGGAGAGATGTGTTTTAAAAATACCTTGTGACCAAGTATTTTTCAGATCTTCCCAGTTACTTAAAGTTGCCCCATGGACAAAAATCCTTCACCACAGCAAAAATTAAAAGAAGTCTATTTTGTCTGCGCGCTTGCTTCTCTACTTCCTGAACACCAGAACACAAGCTTCAAAAATCAAGGCATAAATCTCAAAGCTGTAAAAAAAACATTATCTACAGCGTACAAAATTGAGGGACCTTCAGGTTACAAATACTTGTTACAGCCATTCTTACCAGTTATTTTTACCAAGTTGATGAATAAAGAACCTGCAAGCAAGTCAAAAGATCTTTAAAATAAAGGAAGATGTATTGTTTTGGATGCCAAACCTACCTTACCTTAAATTGTGAAATTAGAGTAACAGCCAATCGCATTTGTTCAGGCAGCCCATTTTCAAATAGGTTTAAAAGGTTTAAAAGATTGAAATAAAAAAAAAAAAAAAAAAAAACACGAACTCACTCTCTTGAAGTCATTCATATTTGTTGCTTGGACTGGAGTTCCAATAAATGTGAAGTACGTAATTCTTGTTGTCTCTTCATCACCATGATTGGACTGGACAAATAACTAGAAAAAAATCCAAAATGCAAGAGTTAAGTAAAAAGTCCATTTCTCAATTAATGCATAAAATCTATTAGGCTCCCCAAATTTTTGAACTAACCAAACAAGGCTTTCATTTAGAAATACCTTGTTATCCTTCAGAGACACTGTTGTCCACTTACTTTAAATAATTATATAGGATACTACTACTTTTGAAGAAATTTGTTAAGGGAAAAAAAATATATTTCTTGGGTTTTCCCCAGTTTCCACTTCTAATCTGAGACCTCACACAGCAAATGAAAAACTTTGGATTTAAGAAGTCAAAATTCACTATTCACTTTATTCTGATTTCAAATGAAGTTAAATATTGATTTAACTATGTTTGCTGAAACCCACAGGACTACTCATAAACAAACTTCATTGCAATGCCTTTATAATTACGTGTTTTTCACCATGAATATTCAATCTATGATGTTATTTCAAGGTTTCAAGAAATACCAACCTTCTTTTGAAGTGCAAATTAAGGAATTAAAAATAGATTAGGTCAGTCCTTAGTTAACGCCGGAACCACTACACTTTAGCAAGCAGAAAAATGACGTTTTTTTGCATGAAGTATTAGTAGTAAGGAACCTGGACTCAGAAGAGCAATGAGATGTTTGTGGATCTCTCCACACTTTATTGTGAGCATGGGGAAAGGAGGAATGAGGAAGGCAGCAGGTAGTTGGGTCAGCAGCAAAGAAAAGAGAAAGGAGAGGGAGGACAACAGATGGGCAAGGGAAGGCATGCATCGCAAGCCCATTCCACAAGAATAGCAATAACTGCTAAGATGTCATTCCTGTCTCAGAAATTGTCTGTGCTGCAGACCACCAAATGTTGAGGGCACATATCACTAAATGCTTGCCCTGTATTTACATATTTTTTGTGGCAACATGGGATGCTTGAATACATATGATAAGCTAGACGGATGGCTGATCTAAACCAGTACAGACATTCACTCCTCTTCAAGTAACTTTTCACTACAGTTGGAAGACCATGTATTTTCCTATAAAAAGGGGATGCATGGCAAGTCAGGGTTGAAGTACTGAAAAGCATCACAGAAAAAGTACTTTTTGAACAGGAAAAAAAAGAGAAGAGCATGTCAGTAACCAACCTGTTGAACAGAGAATGTGACCTGCCATTTGTTTAGTGAAATTCTGTCTCAGAAGCAATATTAAAAGTAAATAAGGAGACAAAGACTAAACATCTTTGCTGATTCAGTGGCAAACACCACTGAAGAAGTAGTAGTGAAGAGAAACACAAAAAGAGAGAAAAAACATACTTAGACCATATGAATTAGAAATATGATGTATAGAATTAATAACTAAAAACAGATAAGCTAACTAGGTTAGGAGCCAAAGAAACTTAGCAGCTATGTATATATATAAGGTATGAAGCTGCCACTACCGACATGGAAGTGTTCAATAAATATTTCTGATTATACTTGGAAGAAAAGCAAAACAATTTACGCATGTGACAGTTGTATCTCCTCCAGCTTATTAGGAACTAAACAGAAGATTTTTATCAGTAGGACACTAAGTGAGTAGAATTTCTTAACCTGCACTGGAAAGCCGGACGGCTGATGAGATGTCCAGCCTTCTCATTTTTAGGAAGTCTTAAATACAGCGTTCAGGTTTAGCCAGGAAACTAGGAGAGTGCTACTGTGGTGTCCACATCCAAAGAGCGCAAAAAAGTGGAACATCTCGTTAATCACGTTATCATTTGTCTGGCACTTGTACATCAGCCTGTATAAAGCTGACACAGGATTTTCTTGAAGAACAAATACATAACTTGTACTTGTCAGCACAGCTTTGTGGAACATAAGCCTGTTGACAGATCCCCACTTAATTTGGGGGAGGTTAAAGTTGTCATCTAGATTGTAAAGGTAGCTTCATGGACACAACAGACTTGGAAAGGAGTTACTTAGATTCACCGACCATTACATTTAAAATAATTATCAGTAAAACATGCTAAACGTGAAAGTGGGCAACTGATCTAAAATGCAGTCCAGTTCACATCATGTAGAGCATTTTCTTAGAACAGAAGTCAGGGGTCATGCAGGACAACACAATACTAGAGGAAACAGGGCTCATGCAGTACCAGGACAACGCCAGCATGAATCAAGTCCAGCACCTTTTTAGTCCTAGCACATATTGTACTAGAACCCATATTTTTAAAATGGAAGATGAGAAACTGAACCTGCTTTTAAGAGGCACAAAAACTATGCGAAATGTGCAGAAAGTATCTCACAGCTAAATAATTTGAAAACTCATTAAAAGACAAAAGAGATTTGATTATAGCATCGAAAATCCCTCAGAGGGACCAGGTACTGAGTTTAAAGTCAGAGTAAATACCTCATTTGATACTCAGGAGGGGAATAGCTGTCTCATTTCAGTAATCAGACTACTGAAAAAAAACCAGGATTTCTTGACTCCTGAACTCTTCAAACAAAGATAAGATGCCTCTCAAGAAGGTGTGTTAGTAAAAACATTGTGCTAAACAGCATACTAGCTCATGAAGAGATGAAAGTAAACCTTATGTCACATACGCCAAAACATACATTGCACGTGCATGACCTTGTCTCACCTGAAATTCAAACAAATCTATGTTTAGTATGAACATGCAGCATGCAACCAGTTGAGAGCAACTAAGAATGTTTGCAATCAAACAAACATGCACGGCGTTTTAAAAAGCTATGAAGTCCTCAGCCGACACAGATCTCAGAACGGAAGTTTTACTTACAGTTACACTGTTAACATTCTGAAATTTTACATAGCGAAGCTGGACAATACCATCTTCTTTAATATCCTCTGGTGTTAGCTCCAGGGCTTGAGTTGGTTCGCTTCGTTCTGCTTCCTCAAAATCCATAGATCGAGGAAGGTTAATAAAAATTTTTATGTACTTTGGACCTTGCCCTGCGTTAAAATAAATTAGTGACTTTAAAAATGCAACATGTGGGATTCAGTTGCTTAAGCAAGTTTTTTTAAATGCTGTTTGAGAAGCCCTTGCAGATCCCATAGTCTCTAGCTACCACTCTAGAAGTCTTCTATAGTTCCAATACTTTCATCTGCCAATCCTAAAGTGACACCCTGGATATTGTAGAATATCTGCAGGTGCACCACCCGCCTATGCTTACGCGACAGAGTTTCACAGAAGAAATGCAATTAAAAAAATTTTTGAAACTAACAACTTTACTTTGTCATATAACACCTGAACATTTTATATAGCTTTGCATTATGCTAGTTATGCTAGACTTTTTAGTAGGTCTCACATTTAACTCTTCAATCAATCATAGGTTTCTCCTTGCAGGAAGTCAAAATATAGTAAATATTTATATTTGCGTCACAGCAAATACTGAAGTACCAAGTCAGCATAACATCAGTGCAAGACCGTTATTATCCAATTCATTTACACCAATTTTACTGAAGCTATTGCAGGATTTGCTGAGGGCAAAAGGTTCCAGGAACAACAGTTTCACTTTTAGGAATTTCAGTTAGATGCAGACAAAGCTCTGATTTGGAATATGATTGAACAGACACACTTTACTCACCGTTATCTGGCCCCTGAAGTTTCATAGAATAAAGCTTGACAGGTTGACTAAAAGCTACAGTAATAAGTAGCTGTGGAGGAAAAAGGTGGTGTTAAATACTATCCTATTCATTCATAATGAAATAGCACAATAGTTAATCAGAAATAAGTCTGAGCTTTGAAACAGAACCAGTTATTTACATTCACTATATTCCACACACACGAGTCTGTCGCTTTAAAGCATCAGCACATGCTATGCTGCTTGGAAATTATTTATATATAAAGGGATGGAAAACTGGAAATGTTATAGCAACCTCTGCATATAAACCTTGCTTCTATCCTACTACCATCCATTACTTACATTATCATAAGGATATAAAGACAAATTCTTCAGAAAAAATGTCTGTAGACCAGACCATCACTGAAAATATCTGACTTAGAAACATAAGCATCTACTGTACCTGCTCATCACAGTCTGATTCCAGGTAGGTAGCGTCTTTACGTAAACAATTATCAAAGCCATGCTCATCACTTTCGTTAAGACATTCACAGCCAGCTTTATTGATAAATGGCATTAAATCCATCTGAAAGTAAAAACAAGAGCATTGCTGGGTGCGTAAGACCTGTGCCATCAACTGTCTTGGGATTAGAAAACGTCTGAATTAATGGAATTCTTCATTCAAAACATTAGAAACAAAAGCAAAACACATAAAACCTCAAGGTTCATATCAGAAGAGCTTTCAAACAAAAGCTACAGATACGGCTGTACTTGAATTTATCCTTTTCGTAACTCACTGAAGTTTTTCCCCTATATTCAAAGTCCCACATCCCTGGAACACAAGTTTACTATATCCAGAAGAAATTGGGCAAAGGGAGAATTTTCAGATACGCTTTTGGTAAACAAAGACTACAGCATCATTAAGTCCTCACACCACAACATCACAAACTGACACCAAGACTTGCAGCTATGATCAATTTAACAGAAAACCCAGAAATAGGCCTCCCCAAAAATATACTATCTATTGCAGAGTAAATTAAAACACTCTCACTATAGCTGTTACTGGGCTCTATATGCAAAGCTAGTCTCATTTCACTCCCCGCTCCATCCCCACAAGGCCCTGTACGCTAATTAATGTTATGAAATTAAGTTTCCCAACCCTTTATCCATATATTTGGGTAAAGCTCAGAAGAGCAGAAAATAGAAGCTATTTGATTCACCGTAAACAACCTGACTTTACTGCAGAGCTCTTTCAGAAAGTGCCCAACTAAAACCTCTGATAGACACATACTGGCAGGTTAAAGCGGCCCCTGTCCACACTGTAAAGCTTCAACCTTTTAAAAGGTGATGTTACCGCAGAGGTAGAACAGTCCAAATCAGTCCCCAGATTGCTAGAATTTTTGGCCTAGTAACTGAAGTAAACCAAGTCTGATTTAAGCATAATAAGCTGGGCTAAAATCGAGTATTTCATATCTTAGGACCTAAAGCCAGAAGACAAACTATCTCAACATCAGGATGTAGAGTCTTGGAACAGTCTGAATGTAAGAACTAAAGGAACTTCCTTAAGTATGAAAACCTAAAAAGGCCTTCTTATAGACATGATATATTAGATCCCAAAGGATAATACATCTCCTTTAAAAGAAAACCCCACACAAGAGCTTGAAAAATACCGTGTACTACAACTCAGGCTGCGGTTTCATGACACTATAACTAAATCCAAACACAGGCTGCTGAGGGAACTGTAGTTTCTCCATCCTACAGCTCATTTCCTGTATCCCACTGCTCTAGCAACTCTGTTGCTCTGGACAAAAAGTAACACTTAGTGCTCCCCTAGCATTCCAAGAGAGGCTTAGCTTTCATCTTGCCTGCTCAGAAGATTCAAGGTAAGACGGGAGAAGAAACATGCAGCTGAGCAAGAGGAGGATACTTTCTTGAAGCCAGTGGCAGTCAGGATTGGATCAAACATAAAATAAAGCTGCATTTCAGCCCACCACTGACTCAAACGAGCCTAGCAGGAATTCTGTATAGCCCTGAATTTACTCAGGACTCGATTCATACGGGTAAGACGCCATCTACTGCAAAACTGATTTGTAATAAGAGACGTTATATTCGTCTCAATGCTAATCTAACTTAAAAGAAGCAGATACACACCAACCTCACCTATTTGTCATTTACTTAAAAGATTTGCAGTGTGTTTTGGGCTGCAAAAGTAACAAGCAAAACCTCTGCCTTTTGGCATTCCCACACTGGATTTCACCTTAATTATGTGAGTGTTCACACACAAAATGAAGCGCAATGCATACCGTGAAATAGTTAACAAGCAGTGGAACTGCTAGAAATTCAAGTGGTCTGTGCTCTTGCAGTTTATTTAAACGAGAAACATTCAGCTGCATTTGTATCCTGCTTGCATTTGTCAGATAGGATATGACTAGCTATGAATTCAGAATACTTAACCTCCAGAGAAACCTAGTTTTGCATTTAATAACGTGATTTTGGGTTCTACAGAAACTCATCACAGCTAAGTCAAACACACTAGATTTTTGCTAATGCAAACTAACGTTCTCACTACTGTACAGCAACTAGTTCATCAGTGAACTGTGACACACGATTTAGATGAAATGTAATACACCACATAGCTAACTGCGTTTATATATCTGTCAGAACAATAGACATTCTAATTTTAAGGAGTAATATTACACCAAGGATTTCCTGGAGAACACCACCTAAGATGACAGCTCCAGGAAAGTGTTTTGTCACATTACAGTTCTCATTTACATGTGTTTGTTACTACAGCTGTCAGACATACTTATGATTTGCAATGCACAGTTGCCTTGAGGTAACATGAAAACATGCAGAACGCAGCGCAAATAGTTTCCTGGGCGCACCAAATATTTCTAATCAGATTGCTCTGTGATGGAAGTTTTGACCAAAACTTCCAAGTGTCCCTTTAAAGTTTTGATTTGTCTAGAAAACACGGGCATATCACGCCATCATGAAAATCTATTCACAAATACTGCTTCTTTAAGGTTCTTTTAAATGCTCAGAAGAAAATTTGAGAAAGCCTTAAAGTTGGTTAAATGAGACTTTGATGCAAGATTTAAAACCTTCCAGTTTGCTAACATACATTTAGGAGTGCTCACTTTTCCATTTGTAGTTCATTCACTAACAATTCAGCAATTTCAGCTAAGTGCCAATGAGAAAGCCAGAATGTAAGACCAATTTAAAATTCAAAAGTTAAACAACAAGAGTTTTAACAAGAGTTAAAAATATAGATAAAATATCAATGTGTTAATACTACACATTTTTAATGTCAACATTTTTTAAACTTATTTTTCTTCCACATAAACTTAAGTGCATTTCAGTTACTCATATCTACTGGTTATTTAACGCTTTCACATTAAGAAAAAAAAAAAATCTCAGAAACTCTTATTAATGCAAGCAATGATACACAAGGAGAAAGGAATCATCATCTTGCACATTTACCAACCACTAAAACTTTATTAGGTTTCCTGACAGGGATCAGCAACTAACATCTCAAAAGAAAAGACACCCTCAGCTTGTCAAAACAGAAAAAGAAGTTCCTGATAAGTTGTCGTTGATGAAACGTTTCATTTTCCCAGTGGCTAGCTAAATATCTCTCCAAGCACTATCCTGCAGGAATTTGTCTTGACATCATTGAACATTTATGGTGATCAAGCAAACAGAAATCAGAACCTATCATAATGCTAAGCAACTGTTTTCTACAATAGGTAAAACAATTTCGACTCTCTGAACGCCTGATCAGCGAGTCGCTACAGTTACACGCAGTATCCCAGCAGAAACAAAAATGAAATGCATTCAGCATTAACTTGAAAGCAAGTTCATATTCAACAAAAGATAATTCTTGTATGCCACTCAGACCACGCACATCATCTTTTTCATGGATTTGTATTACATTATACATTCTAGATCCTCTTAAATTCTTTAAGAGGAGGAAGAATCTGAAAAAACTTTTTGCAATACCATTCACTTTTGAAAAGATTAGAAATTAGGCACAATAAGATAACATTTATCTAACAATACTGCCCCAAAGGCATGCCATTTCAGGGCAAGCTGCTGTAGGACAAGATGGATCCAGACTATTACGAAGGTTAATTCCTTTGGCAAAAAGGCAGTTGTTTTTTTTTCCACTTAAACAAATCCATATCCTATTTTTATCACTGCTGCAATATGCTACATCCATTACTTCCTTAGCATTGAAAAGCATCAAGAAGAGAGAACAAAGTTTGGGGGTTTGTTGTTGTTTGGGGGGGGGGGGGGGTTTTTTTAAGAGATAAAAGAGATGAGATGGAGAGGATTAAAGGAAGGGTAGGAAGGAAGAACAGCAAGAGAAGAGGGGGAAAAAAAAAAAAATCACATCAACCTACCACCACATAAATAACAGAGATTTCTTAGGGAACAACCAGAGCAAAACTGTCCAAGGTTTTTGACAGCTATGTATGACTGTCATTTTCCCATGGAAATTTTTGCATTTAAAAAAAGTGTTTTGAGTAGACAGAGATGCCTGATATGGACACAGATAAGAAGCAGAATAAGCAACCATAGCAGAAATTTCCTCATGAAACATGAAACTCACTATTTTAACCATTATTTTTCTCTTAATACATTTTATAATGCTACAACAATGCTTACTAATATGTACATGTTACACATGTACATATTTGAATTTTTAATTTTGTCTGAAAAAGGAAACCCAGAGAGGTGATCTTCCCAAAGTCTGGTGGAATTTGCATTGTTGCCTAAAGCAGCATTATTTGTTTGGCTAGGGTAGGGTATGTTTAAAAAGCAACAGATTTTTCATGTGTTAAATTTATGTAAACATCAAAAAAATTTTAAGAGAAGAGATGCATACATATCCTTTTGGGATATCTGTATCTTCATTGTTTCCAGGGTCATTCTCCAGGTGCTGTTTAATTTTTTCTTCTAAACCTACAGCATCTGCTCCTTGATACTGGTCGATTCGCACTTTGTTTCGAAAAAACAGAAATGTTGGTGTGGCTGATATATTATTGGTAGCAGCTGTTCCCTAGAACGCACAAATTAGTTACAAGTGTTACCTAACAGACTATTACTAATATTAGACAGAAACATTAACTTGCTTCACTTAGATAAGGATGTACATGTTACATGTTAATCAAGCTTTGTCACCTCAAATGTCACAAACAATATTTGCTATTTTATAAACAGCTGTAACTCAACTGCCAATTTAAAATACATTAATTCTTCAGTTTCTCCTAATTCTTTATGTATTTGACTATTCTTTGAATAAACTTGTAAAAAGATTTGTTAGTACATCATAAAAGTCACTGTACTTCCTTGTTCTCAAAAAGCAATGTCTGTTTGAAAGTGGAGGTCTGCTTCATTTAACACATCTATTTTACAAGCTTTTCTTTACAGCTGTATTCCTCCTCCCCCCTCCCAAGCCACATCACTCCCAGGAAGTTGCAGCCTGTGAGCGTCAGTGACTTCTGTTTGATTTCTACCTCTATTTATATTTGTTATGCATCCATAGTAGCTTTTCCACAACTTTGCATAATTCAGTGTCATTTACAAATGATGTTACCATTTCATATTCATCTGTCATCTGTCATATTCATTATCATCAGTAATATCTGTAGTAATTCAAGACACTTTGCACCATTGCTGTATGTTACAATAGTTTTGAGTAATATTTCAGAGACACCTAGTCCTATTAATCAGATCAGTTTATTGTTTCTCATTTTGATCAATAATTACGCTAGAATTTGTTTAGAAAAACTTAACTTACTCTTTTTAATTCACACTCGTGCTACCTTCCACACTTAGCTGTACTGTCTAAATAGGACGTGCAGCAGCAACCATTAAACTGTCCGTACATTATTTAAACGAAAGATATCAAAACGGTAACTCCAAGAATACTTTTTAAAATAAGTGTAGGTTTTCACATATTTGCGTGTACCCTAATTTTGTAGACTTCTACAATATAACTGTTCACGATTCACGAAACTCATAACAGCCGCAGTCTCTTATGATATATTGTCTGAACAATTTTCCTTCATTATCTGCTCTTTCTCTTATCAGGTCTAATTTCCTAGCTAAAAATACGTTTCTGAATACCAACCTGGCACTGATGTACATCCACCTCCAAAAAAGTTGCCTGAGGATATTTGTTACTCAGGGCATTGAAAGCTGGAGCTATCCTTAAACAAGGCCCACATCTGTGAAAACAAAACAAAGTTTCACAAAAAGACGGTGTTAACTTAAAAACACCTGCCCCAAACAGAACGTGCACGTCTGTGTTCTTTTCCTTGGTACACGTCAAAATAACCTTCCTACCTGGCTGACAGATGGTGAGTAATCCTGGTGATACAATTAAGAACGACATTTAGAAACACATCATGAAGTGTTAATCCCCACTTTCTTAGACAGTTTCAATATCACATGATTACCTGCACCTATTAATTAAAACTAACTACACATTTTCTGTCTAGCGTGTTTAGCTCTAGCACCTTTCCCTGCAAAGCAAAATCCTGCTAAGACAAGTAACTATTGAGGGCACACAGTTGCCTGCTCTTCCTGAAAGCAGCAAAATACTCTCTCAATAGAAAAGTAGTACTAATGATCCAAGTTAGCACCTGTGAAAATATTATCAACAGTAAAATCTCTATAGATGACTTGAAATGCTTCATACTAACATATTAGAATTCTATGATTCCTACTGAAGGTTTATTATGGTAAAACTCATTTACTAGAATTGCTTACCAGTTACTGCAATACTTACTAAGCTACAGTATAATAGACCTGACTTCTGCCAGCATAACTGCATCAACTTGGGTGAAAAATATGTAATTGTTAACAAACATACCTTTGGTGCAGAGATGTGCCTATGTTGACACAGGAATAACCTTACAACTTAGCTTGTTGTGGAAGAAGCAGTTAAAAAAAAGAAACATTAAAAAAAAAGTAGAAATTCCATCCAACAGCACCCAACGTATGCTACACCTAAATCAAGAGAGTTCTGTGTGAATATGCCAACATGCGCAGCTGTAGAACAGCACAAACAAGGTCTAATTCACCCTTCCTATTCTCTCCTGTTTGAGATATGAATCCATGGGAGCATAGCAAGGCAAACCTGTAGACATCTACATGCTGAAGACACCAAGGCACTGCTTTAAGTAGAACCTAATAGCTTAGCTGTAGCCAAAACATTTTCCTGAGCACAGGCACTGGCATTATTAGTAACTGCAGAAATCGGCAAGACCTCTACAGTGAGGTATGAAGTTGCCCTACAAACAAAAGAAAAAACAAAACCATCGCCTAACAGTCAGGCATCAAATACGCGTACGCTCCCGGCCCGGTCCGGCCTAGCGGGGCCTCACGGCGGCGGCGGGCCGAGGCGGCACTCACCCGCGCATGGTGAACTTCACCACGGCGAGGCGGGAGCCGGCGGCGCTGAGCTCGGGCTGGAACTCGGTGTCG